TGTCACAGTGTCCGAAGGACGTATCACCCCTTGCTGCACACTGTTCCCTGCGCCTTCAGAATCCGCAACACAAGGATTCCCGGAGCCGGATTTACGCGCTTTCAAAAAGCCATCAACGCTTGCCTTTATATCCGAAACCCTCAATCATCGTGGACTCGTAGACCCTGGACCCTGCTGACCCGAAAGACCCCGAAGAGCCCCGGCTTAGGGTTCAAGGCGCAGCCTTCGTTCCCATGGTCTTCTTGCCAGATACCGCCGTGCCAACAACACCTCCCAGTGCTTGGTCCTTGGTCTCACAAGAAATACAATGAAATACATATCGGTTAGAGTCAGGGGCTTCAGAGACTGTGTAATAATCGCGGAAAAACAAAGAGCAATCATAAACAGAAAGGGAGAGGGTATCAGCACATACCCGAAACCTAAACCCTAAACCATAGTCTTAAGGGTTTAAGTTTGAGGGCTCTCTTTATCGGTGACCTTCTCAGCAGTCTTTGGGCTCCAGAACTTTGGAAAAACTCGTCTTGGGTTTTGGGTTTTGGGTTTAAGGTTTAGGGTTTAGGGTTTAGAGTTTAGGGTTTAGGGTTTAGAGTTTAGGGTTTAGGGTTTAGGGTTTAGAGTTTAGGGTTTAGGGTAAATCTACCCTAAACCCTACAGCCCAAACCCTAATGCTTCGAAAGCTTCAACATGAAACCCTGCAACCCTCCAGGAAGCCTAAACCCTAAACCGCAAAACCTAAACCCGAAACAAGGTTTAGGGCTTAGGGTTTAGGGTTTAGGCCTAAACCCTAAACCCTAAACCTTAAACACGCCGCGCGCTGCGCTGCTCTGGGACCCGGGCCAAGTTCTTGTCCTGCTCCGTGAAGACGAACTGGTTCGCCTCCAGCCTGCTGCTGATCTAGGGTTTAGGGTTTAGGGTTTAAGGTTTAGGGTTTAGGGTTTATAGGGTTTAGGGTTTAAGCGAAGCGCACTGGAATGCAATCCCTCAACTCAAGATCCCCGACCCCTTGAGCCCTACACTAAGCCCTGAGCCTAACCCTGAACCCTACACCCCAAACCCGGAACCTAAACTTTAGGGGTTCAGGGGTTTAGGGTTTAGGGCTTAGGGTTTAGGCCAGCCAGTGCAAATGGAGCCGGCGCGACCCCATGAGGCAGAACACCTCACCGAAGAGACTGGGCCTCGGATGAGGATGGGGGGTTGGGACTTACAGAACGCAAATTCTATGTTTAGGGTTTCGGGATTTAGGGTTAAGGTTTTTGGGTTTAGGGGTTTAGGGTTTAGGGTTTAGAAGCCGGCTTCGAGGCTTTAGACGTTGAGGATTTCTGGGCTTTTTGAGAATTATGGGATCAGAGTTTCAGGGTGCAGGGGGTTAGTTTTCCAGGGTATGGACCTTGCATATTGGGGGTAGCTCAGGGTCGAATGTTACGGCGAGTTACTTACGAGTCAGGGCAAGGCACCGTATCGCATCGAGTACACAGTAAACGTTCCCAAGACATCTGGGGTTCAAGGTTTAAGTTTAGGGTTTAGGGTTTAGGGTTTAGGGTTTCGTCGAAGCCTGAGCCATACCCAGATACTCCTAAAGCCTTAGAACTCAGCAAAGTACTTTCTTAATCTCAAACAAGTTCTATCTTACGCTCTTTAGCTCTCTCAAAAAAACCCCTAAGCCCTAAACCCTAAACCCTGAACCCTGAACCCTAAACCCTAAACCCTAAACCCTAAACCCTGAACCCTAAGGGACTTTTATCAAGGAGTATTGAACCTCAGACTCCTACGGTCCGAAAACCGTGTACAGACCCAGAAAGAACCCATCAACAACCCTTGCAAGACCCCATAGAAGCCCCATGAATTAGGGTTTAGGGTTTAGGGTTTAGGGCTTATTCACAAAAACGAACCGAACCTTTTTCAAGAGCCTCAACTACCGGGCTTCCCTAAACCCTATAAACCCTAAACCCTAAACCGTGTCCGAGGCGCACATAAATGCGGAAGGCGTCCCCGTGTCTGGCTCGCATGTTCAGCAAGACAGAATCGAACCTGTAGCTCCCAGCTTTAGGGGTAAGGTAGGGGCCTTAATAATTAGAATAGGGTTTTGGGGCCCATTATACTATAATTATAATAAGGAACCCCCCAAAATAGTATAGGTAATTATTCAGACCCCTAATTACATTATAGGGTTTGGGGGTTCGGGGGTTTTAGGGTCTGGGGAAGTAGGGTTTGGGGCTTAGAGTTTGTGGGTTTAGGGTTTGGGGGTTTGGGGCTTTGGTGGTTGAGGGTTCAGGGTTTAGGTTTAGGGCAATGTAGATGAGCGGTTTGAGAAGGCCCTTAGAAGAGTCTCTAGGGGTTTTGGATGGGCTTTGTAAAGCCTGTACAAGAGTCCCCCTAAACCCTAAACCCTAAACCCTAAACCCTAAACCCTAAACCCTAAACCCTAAACCCCTTCCACAGGTCCCTAGGGCTTAAGCCGTTTTAGGGTTTACGGTTTAGGGTGTAGGGCTCTGACTTCAAGGACTCTTCCCCATCTCCGGGGTTCAGGATCTCTGCTTCTTTCCGTCTTCGGTTTAGGGTTTAGGGTTTAGGGTTTAGGGTTTAGGGTTTAGGGTTTAGGGTTTAGGGTTTAGGGTTTAGGAAAGAAATTGAGGGGCTAATTGGATGAAGGGCTATGGCCGATTGTGAAGCGGCGGGCCTAGAAATGAGGGCTTGAGGTTTGGAGTCTACTGTAGGGGCCTAAATAAATACCTATACTATTCTGGGGGTTCCTTCTTATAATTATCGTACAATGGGCCCCAAAACCCTCTTCTAATTATTAGGGCCCCTAATATAGAACCCTTACATAGATCCCTTGTAGAACCCTTTAAGGATCCCTTTAAAGAAACCCTATCCCACTAGGTAGGGTCTGATATCGGGACCTAAGTGCTTAGATGGCTCAGTGAAAGCTGTTGGTCGCCGGAGTCGCCCAAAATAGCGCAATGCACAGCTACAAGTTAGAGGCCCCTAAATTCAAGGAAACTACAGGTGGGGAGTTTAGGGTATATAGGGCTTCTAACAGGCTTCCATGAGGTATACAGAGCTTCTGTAAGGCTCCTATAATGTCCGAGACCTGAACCTTGAAACTTATACCCCAAACCCGAAGCACACGGAGGTTGTGATCGGCGTTAGAGATACTCAAGACCGGTAAGCTAACCGACCATGAGCCATGAACAACAAAACCACAGCTACCACACTGACGAACCCTAAAGCTAAGGCTAAAGGTTACGGGTCGAGGGTTTGTGGTTGAAGGTGTGGGGTCTGTTGCCACTGCTCTTTTGCAAGTGGACAGCGAAACAATGGCAAGCGGTTCAATTCCCAATACAAGAACATCCAAGAACCAGACATTATGATGGTTGCAGACGGCGGAAGGAAGTATAGACTAACAGGGGCCTAACAAAGTGACTAGGGTTTCGTCGCGCACATGTTGTACCCAAACTATATACGAACTACACAAGAATACTCTTGCTAAAAAGACAAACAGTCCTAAACCCTAAACCCTAAACCCCAAATGCGGCCCTTTTCCCGCAGGTGCCAGCTGCTTCCGGTTGCATTAACGTGGGGGGGGGGGCGAAGGTCAGGTCACCGAAAGAAGCGTTACACTAATGTAGGGGCCTTGATAATTAGAATAAGGTTTTGGGTTCATTGTACTATATACTATATTATGTATATATATATATATATACATACATACATATAATAACGACAACAAACACTAAAAACAAAGATAATCATAATAGTAAGGAGCCACCAAAATAGTACTGGTACTTATTCAGGCCCCTATAGTATCGCACGCAAAGGGTTTGGGCTAAAGGTCTTGGAAATTGACCCGAAGTTCCTTCACCCTAAACCCTAAACCCTAAACCCTAAACCCTAAAGCTCCTTCACCTGCCCTGCCACGCCGTGTTCTCACACACCAAGTCCTCCAACTCCCCGAGGCCCTGAAGAGGCGTCGCTTGCGGCGTCACGTAGCGCGCCACAAAGGCCTCGAAGCTCTGCGTCTCCCGACGGTTTAGGGTTTAGGGTTTAGGGTTTAGGGTTTAGGGTTTAGGGTTTAGGCCTCGAAGCTCTGCGTCTCCCGGATCTTCAGAGAAAAGCAGCCTCGGTTGAGGAGACATGGGTGTAACCACAAGAAGGAACACGAGCGAGAACCACAACAAGAAACGCACTCGGTTGAGGGTTGGAGAACTTTGGGCTTCAGGGTTTAGGGCTTCGGGTTTAGAGTTGGGTTTGGAGTGTAGGGGTTACAGTTTAAGCTTTAGGGTTTGGGCTTGGGGTTTAAGGGTGCTGGCTTGAAGATTCTGTTTTGCAGGTTTGGGTTTAGAAAGTGTCTGTTTACAGATCTCCGTGACACTTGGTGAGGGTTCTGGCTGTTCGCATGCCTTTGCTTATCCCTAAACCCTATTCCTGAAACCCTAAACCCTAAAAGTTCATCCAGCATCCTGTAATACTCGGTCCCTCACTGAGAAACTTTGCGATACTTCGAGGAGATCTGCTAGAACATGGAAAACTCCGCCACAAAAATAACAAATCTGCGCTCCGAGCTTTTATACCAACAAGTGTGATGCAAAATAATTCATGATATCCAGCTCCCGGAAATCGCAAACAATGTCCTTCCCTGTCTTGTCACCCTCCCGTCTGCGAAGAGCCCTACAGGATCCCGAAGCCGAACCCCTTAATCCCAGCTCGGAAGCTGGAACCCTGCGCCGAAACGCCCAAAGTCGAAACCTAAGCGTCAAGACCCTAAACCCTGAACTGAACCCTCAACCTGACGGCAGAACATACGCCGAAGTCGTAAAGCGCTCGGCCCAAATTCAAGCACCGAAGACGACTCCTCCGAGAGCCCCGTAGAACTTCGTAAACCCCCTTCTGTTGGCATAGGGTTGGTAGATACCGAGAGCTTTAACGCAGGCCGAGGGCACGGAAGCAGTAGTGCCGGAGAAACTCCAGAAGCCCTGACCGTTGCCGCGGATCAACAGAAGAGTGGGCTTCGGGATTTGGTCTTTGGGTTTTACGGTTAGGATTTAGGCTGTAGGTTTTAGGGTGAGGATATAAACTGTAGGCTTTAAGGTTAGGATTTAGACTTTAGGTTTTAGGGTTAGGATGCAGCGTTTAGGGGGAGTTTAAGCGCACCGGGTGCTTTTTTGAGGATCACAGTCCTTCCAGATTTGCTCCCGGGCTTAGGGCTTTGCATGTGCAACGGGGTAGAAACATGTTTGCGAGATGGTTTGGTTTCGGGTTTAGGGTTTAGGGTTTAGGGGTAGAAACATGTTTGCGAGATGGGATGGTTTGGTTGAGGGTTTGGGGATTAAGTGCTTTGGAAAGCCTAATCGTTTAAGAGTTTAAGAAAGGGTTCCTGCTAACGGCGGAGGCTTGTACAGGGGTTCGATCGGATTTCAGGTATGACGATGCACTTGGCAGGCTGCTGTCAGTGTGAATGATAGAATACGGTCTGAAATCCTAAACCCTAAGCCCTAAGCCCCCCAAACCCGAAACCCTAAACATGATGTACCTAGACCCAGCCTGACTGACAGAAACTGTGGCCCTATATCCCGAAAACTACCTTTCCGTCGGGTCTAGGCATACCCCTACGTCAAAATCCTGTTCGTGAAATTGAAGCCAGAATTTTTCTTAAAACAAAATGGTGCAACCTGGAACCCTCAACCGTCAACTGAAACAGCCACACAAGGGGATTGAAACCCTGAATCATAAAGCCCTGAACCGTCGCCAAAGCCGGGTTGTTTCAAGAAAGAACCTACAATTTGATTCTGGGTCTAAGGGGCACTAAACCCTAAACCCTAAACCCTAAACCCTAAGTTTAGGGTCTATATGCGGCGTGGAGTGCAGGGCCAGCCAAGACTTTGCCTACCTCTGTAGGGTTATGACGCACAGAAACAGCTAAAGCAATAGAAAGAGGTAACCTCCCAACCCTAAACCCCTAAACTGCTAGACGGTAGACTCTCAGACGGCCTTCTGGGTCAGTTCCGCTGCTGCCGAGCATTCCTGGTAGGAAGTTGAAAACCCGCAAAGCCCTGATACGGCTACGGGCTTGGGCTTAAGCGTTTCCGGATTGGGGTGTAGGGTTTGGGGCGCCGGGTTTAGGGCTTTCGGGTTTACCACTCACAAAGAGCGGATACCCCTCGCACAGAAACCCTTCTATACTCCAGATAAGATCCCGTAGAGTACCCCTCGCTGTAGAACCCTATAGGAACCAGGAGCGACGCACTACATAGTTCCAGTGCCGTCATAAAAAGGGGTAATTAGTAGAAGGACACACAATAAATCACCGCAATTGAGACTAGGTCGAATCCAATGCTGAGGTCAGACCACGATCCTAATCCAAGTGATGACCATGCGTATGAGAAGGAGAACCGACATGATGATGATGATGATGAGGAGGAGGAGGATGATGAGGATGATGATGATGACTACGATGATGACGGCAATGTTTGCGGAGATAGAGTCAGATAGAGGTTATGGGACGACGCTGGGAACGAAGAGAACGCGATGACACCGGATGAGGATGAAGACGATGACGCACATGATGAGACTGATTATGAGGATGAGGAAAGTGATGATGACCACCACGACGACCACAACGACGACGACCACGACCGAGCCCCCACTCTTCGAAACACTGTTTTGCTCATCGTTGTTTGTGCTCTTCTTGTTCTGGCTCGTGTAGCGTTGTTCTGATCAATATCAAGACTATGGTTCCGTTGCCATCGTCGCTATTGTTTCGGCAGCAACACGGACCTGACTGGCTGTCAATAATGGCTCACAACGTCTAAAACCTGTTAACCATATTTTGTCAGGGCAGCTACACGGGCGGTGATGGCTGTCAATGATGGTTCAAAAGATCGAATTCTCGTCATGATCGTAGCAGGTACCATGATCAAGAACACTTGCCAAAATATTGGACATCATGGAAATGATGGCAAGAACAGTCGCAAAACTAATAAGACCATAAGCAATGTGGCCTTCATCTATGGCCCAAACAGCATCAGATTCATCCCCACCAGCTGCAACCGTGATCCAGAGAGATCCTCTGACGTTCACCACCACTCCCAAGAACCCTCGGAGAAGAACCCACAAATTGCCACACTGTGAGCCCGAAGCCCAGAAGCCACTGCCCTAAACCCTAAAGATCCTAAAGCCGTAAGCCTAAAGGGTTTAGGGTTTAGGGTTTAGGGTTTAGGGTTTAGGGTTTAGGGAACCAAAAGTCCTGGATGAAACTCCATGACCAGGAAGTGCACTCGCCCTGGACGGATGCGTCGGGCTGTTAGAACTGGATGTCCGGGGCTTTGGGATCTACGGTCTAAGGCAAGGCTGATTTAAGGCTCATTGGTAAGTGCGATGCACAGCTTGGGCTTTTGGGGTCTATAGTAGTTTAGGGTTTAGGGTTTGGGGTTTGGGGTTTAGGGTTATAGGTTTTAGAGTTTAGGGTTTAGGGTTTAGGGTTATAGGGATTAGAGTTTAGGGTTTAGGGTTTAGGGTTATAGGGTTTAGACTTTAGGCTTTAGGGTTTAGGGTTATAGGGCTTAGAGTTTAGAGTTTAGGGTTTAGAGTTATAGGGATTAGAGTTTAGGGTTTAGGGTTTAGGGTTATAGGGTTTAGAGTTTAGGGTTTAGGGTTTAGGGTTATAGGGTTTAGAGTTTAGGGTTTAGGGTTTAGGGTTATAGAGTTTAGAGTTTAGGGTTTAAGGCACAGGATATGTACCTTGAGGTTCGGAATTTGGGCTTCGGGACTTAGGGTCTGGGATTTGGGACCCTTTGTAGTTTGAGGACAAGGGCTCTGCCCCGCGGTTTGGGGCTTAAGATTCAGGAGTTGAGGGTTTAGGGTTTAAAGTTTAGTGTTTAGGGTTTAGGATTTAGGGTTGCGGGTTTAGGGTTGAGGATTGAAAGAATGCGAGGCTTTCGAGAGTAGGGGGATCGTCAGGGTTCGGGATTGGGGGAAGAACGTCGAATCTTATGCCCACGAACTGAAACCCCAAACCCTAAGCCCCAAACCCTAAACCCTAAACCCTAAACCTTAATCCCTAAACTCTAAACCCTAAACCCTAAACCTTAAACCTTAAAACCCTAAACCTTAAAACCCTGAAAACTCGAAACCCCAACGCCTTCCGAGAGAAGCCACTCCGCGCCACGCAGCGCACCCATCTCGTAGCCTCCATGGGATCAGCTGGGCGCCGGGTTTGGGGTTTAGGGTTTGGGGGTTTAGGGTTTAGGGTTTAGGCGGTTTAGGGTTTCAGTTTTCAGTTAGCTTCAAAAGCCCTGTCCTATGCAAAACCGGCCCCTGTATGCCCCACAAAACCCATCTACAAAGGCCCCTGTGTATGAAACAAGAAACACTACTAAAGGCCCCTTCAGGAATGCTCCCAAACCCTAAACCCTACAACCTACACCCTAAACCCCAAACTCTAAATCCTAAATCCTACACCCTAAACCCAAAACGGCTTCCTTGATCTTCGGAGTTGCATCCCACAGCCTTTTACAACTGTATGACGGCTTTTGCAAGGTAAGGGGGGTTTAGAGCATTTTCTTCAGCTTTGCACGTAGTGTTCCACTGAGCTCTTGTATGGAGGTGTTCAGAAGCGCCTTTGATGCTGGCTTAATGATCTTAGGCTCATGATCCTAGTAGTATTAATTATTACGAAGAGGCAACCCTAAACCCAAAACCCTCAACCCTCAGCCCCAAACCCTCAACCCTAAACCCTAAACCCTCAACCCCAAACCCTAAACCCTAAACCCTAAACCCTAAATCCTAAACCCTAAACCCCCAAACCCCCAAACCCTCAACCCTAAACCCTAAACCCTAAACCCTAACCCCTAAGTTGACCGGGACTCCCCAAGGCTCGGCCTTCAACGTCCAGCTTCAGCAGCTCCACTGTATGGACGTCGCTGAGGTAGG